GCTGTTTGGGCCCCCCGACACGCGCTCCGCGCGTTCTGTCTGGTTCCGCCCGACGTTGGTTCGTCGGGTGTAGAACCGGACCGGTCCAGCTGGGACCGGTCCAGGCGTAACAGACCTCAACAAATTACAACGGTATTTTTATTTAGCATGAGTTATAGTAAAACAAATGAATACAAATTCTGAAATTAACAATCATTTTATTTCATCATTAGTAATAAGTTCTATATTCGAGTTAACAAATCATGTCACATTGTATTCATCTTACCACTAATCATAGATAATTTATTCTTGTCAAGCAAGGTGTCACTTGAAACTATCCTCATTTACTTCTCCATATGACCATGCATGCTAAATGTAAATAAGAAAAAGGACTAAATGCACTTGAACTTTTTCAATTTAAACAATATTTGTCATGGATATGCATGACGCTATACATTCAACAAATTGCAATCATCATTGACGATAAGATATGCATCCGGCATATGATCACAAAAAAGAAAAATATAAGTGAACATCAAAGACATATTTCTTCTTTCAAGCATGGTGTATACATTTCAAGCACCTTCACCTTGTTAATTTGAATAAATGCACGAGATATTATCATATTCAAATCTCCTACAAGAAATCTGGTTTGAAATACTCCCACAAGAAATTCCATTCACGTAGCCAACAATTTGAATGGTGGTAATGAACAATGAATGGTGAAACAAGAGGTGATCTAGCTGGTTTTCTTAGAAGATTGATGGCGCGGTGAAGGTTAGGTTAGGTTGGTAGTGCAGGTTTCTTGAGGATGGAGGAAGGTCCACAACAACTCAAGAGTTGAGTAGCAGGTAAAGATGTCGATGATTATTGGAACAGGGAAATATACAAACTAGTTCTTGGAGGTTGACAACAATAGTTTCCTTGAAGAAGCATATGGATAAGGCTTCAACATGAGACATGTAGGGAGCGTGCCTTTAGATATAAGGAAGGGAGACGGATCTTGAATCAAACGTAAAATGTGCAATGGCATGTTGGGAAATCCTATGGGGTGTTGGATCATTGTTTTCTGTGTAACAAGAGGTGGAGAATCTTCTCAGCAAGAAGACCAATGATAGAATCCTGGATCCTAATTAGAGCACTTCAAGCTGCTCAACCACACCAGAACTTTAAGAAAGAAGATGAGAAAGATAAATGAGAAAGAATAATTCATAAGTTTTTTTTAGTCTCTTCATCCTCTCTAATTGGGAGTACTTACAGAATACATGGGCTAACTCATACTAACAGACCAGCTGCTAACTAACCAGATTCACTACATAAGTAGTAGAACTAAACAGCGCCTTAATAGAACTACGAAAACAAGAACTAAACTAAACAAGACTTGGCTAACCACATCCACTACCATGAATAACACAATGGCGAACAAGAATGCTTCAATAAGCAATCAGACTTTCAAAACTGAAAGCATCTTTCTTGGCCAATTACACTTCAGATTCATGGTAAGCCAATCAAATATATTTAATAGAGCTAAGAAAATTCATTAAAGCAAAGCCAATTTACTACCAAGGATCGTGAATCAAACCTGAGGGATCCTCCTGGAGAATTAATGAACAACCTAATATCTCTACTGGGATCCTGGGCGTCCAGGAGCAACAGCTGGCTGATGATAGCGTCCGCCACAAAATCATCTATGCCACTTCCTAGAAACACAATCCTCTCTCTCAACAGCAAGCCCATCACGTCAGACTCGGCACCCCTCATTGCGGTCGCCGGCGTCTGGGGTGGAGCAGCATACAATGGAGAGGAAGCAGCCCATGAGTTGGATTCATCAGTTTGCAGTTCTGATCCAAACACCGACCCCGTAGCTTCTCCGCCATATGAAACCGAGCTATGATAGAAAGATACTGGCGAAGAAGAGACGTAGGCGGGGACGCTGAACCGAGAGTGTCTAGAGGAGAGATGACGAAAACTTAGGGCTTTAGTAGCAGCCGAAGAAGAGTGCTGCAGAGGAAAGTTTGGCGGAGAGACCGAGGAGAGAGATATCATGGCGGCCAAAGGATTGGAGTGGCAGTAAGGAGAGGATTCAGCGGTATCGGCGCCGGAGATCAGCCGGACAGAAAAATCGATAAGGCGTGAAGCCAAGGGTTCCTCGCCAACTACACGTATTCGGGTTCCAGTTACCGCTTGTGGTCAATCAAAGTGTCTGACCAGAATTTCCTTCCAGACAAAAAAAAAAATCACTTATTTTAAGAAAATAAATTTTTATCATCTAAAAATTATATTGGTTGATTTATAAGTATTAGTGAGGTCACTATTTTAAATGAAATTTTGAGATGAATACAATAAAAAGTAAGATTCACTATGAATGCAGTTTCGGAAAATTATTCTGTGGGCGGAGTCTTAGACGGAAAGTTTTTTTCTGACTGTGAGTGCATCACATTGTATAATATAATTTTCAAAACAGTGTACACATCATAGTCCAAATTATGAAACGAGAAAGTTCTCAAATTCGGACTCTGCACATAATAATTTTCTAGTGTTTGGAGCTGAAGGTGATGATGATATATATCATTGAAGTTGTTGTTGTAAGATATATGAGCTGTAAAATAAATAAATATAGAAAATTCAAATGCACTACATAGGAAGCAAGGGCATTGACGAAAAAATTGTATTTTTTGTTGGGTGTTGGGGAGCAATTGGATAATTATTGTAATTACTACTCTCCTTTTTTTTTTCAATAATTTTTTTGGGTCCTTTTATACTATTTTAATCTTGCAACAATAGCAATCTTCATTTTTATAAATTATAAAAATTCTTAGTTTATATTTTTCTATAGAGTTGGCATTACAGCAGAATCTACGATTAATCTCATTTTACTTTAAATTTTAGGTTATTTGTTGTGGTCTGTGAAGTATTCGTGACGATAGAAAAATACAAACTTTCAAATGTCTGTACGATTTAATACGAAGATTCAGTACACAATCAGAATAAAAATAATGGTATGGTGTTCATGAAGACACCTAACAGAGTTTTAGAATGTGGAAACCCCTAAAAGTGGAGGAATCCATGGGTTGAGCCCTCAGTTTGAACGAATCCACTAGTATTTTCAGTCGATTCAAATGAGGCTCTTTTCTTGGGGGGAAAGGACTTTGCTTAATGTAGCAAATATACATCATATAGAGTTCATTGGCATTGTAAGGAATTAAGAAGAGTAATTTTGTTTGCATATTTTTGTTTTGTTGCGAATAACCCATGAAGTAGGTGGGTGACGATTCGAAAAATCAATAGTCGGTGACGATAGTCGAAAGGACATATTTCAGTGGGCGGATGGGATTCAAAAAATTGTTGTTTAGATGATGCGAGGACGCGAGAACCAATAACGGTGTTCAACAAAGGTCAGAAAGATCGTTATTCAAGGCAACGAAGGTCGGACGACCGTAGTCGGCGAGTGACCGAAGGTAAAAAGATCCATTATCAGCAACAAAGGTCGGAAGAATAGTAGTTGCTTGCAGATGAAGGTCATAAAGACTTTTACAGGGAGGTTGAAAGGGTCGTATGTCAAAGCAAGCAACAGAGTTGAAGGGTGTAAGTCTGACAAAGCAACAGAGGTTGGAAAAGATTATAGTCGGCGACGGAGGTCGAAAAGACTGCAGTTCTGGAGACGGAGGTCGGAAGGAGACTGTTGTCAAGCGATGGTGGTCAGAAGGATTCATTGTTAGCGACGAGGGTCGAAGGACCAAAAGTCAAACAAGCCGACCAAGTGCTAAATCAAAAAAATTCTGCCTCAAGGGGGGGGATCGTCCAGGACGATCTGGATCGTCCTGGGACGAATCTGTGGAATTCTGCTGCCAGAAATTTGCCCCAGTTTTGCTCCAGGTGATTTCCCTGTAACGTATCGTCCAGGCCGATTTGGATATCGTCCAGGCCGATCGGCACGGTAGAGAAATATATCGGCATGAGCAATAGTTCTGGGAATCGTCCAGGACGTCCGGCGACGAGTTGAATTTTTGGACTGAATCGCGCGGGATCGATCTGGCGTCGGGCCTACGCTCCGGGCCGATCTGAAGATTATAAAGCTGATATTGTTTACTCGTACGGAAAAGTACATTTTCAAGGAGTCTAGATGAAAACTGAATATCATTAATAATTCAACACATATTTCAGCCAAGGAGGAGAAAGCTTGGTCAAGTAGAGTATATGGTATGTCCGAAGATTTTGAATTTGTTACGAGGAAACAAAATCATATGCTTTGAACACGCAAGGATATGCGTAAGACTCTATCTTTCGAATCTGAGGGAGAGCAAGTTCAGAATATGATTGCTTTGTACCATAACGAAGTTTCCCAAGTGAAAGTTGTTAGGGGATTTAAGAACCCTTATGAACTACGCCCGAGCTAAACCCAAGAGGGGGTGAATTGGTGTTTTAAAATTCTCAGATAGATTCACGCGACTACTTAATAAAACGGAAACTAACATTCTACCACAAATATAAAGTGCCTGAGAAGGTAAAATGTGGACACACAATTCCGTACACTTTAACTCAAAATTATTGCAGAAAAGCCGTCGAGCAATTTATGACAGATATTTTTCTGTCCCGGTATTGTGGTTTCGGTCAACTGACCAGTGTCCACTCCCGATTTTCGTTACCGTTACATCGTTTTTCGTCCCGTATCTTTTGATCGGTCTTCCCAGTTTTTACCCCGTGTATTAACAGCAGAGTCTAAAATTTCCGATTAAATTTAGTTGATTTGAGACTACGTAGTGTA